GAGTTACAAAGGTTAACCTAGACTATTACGTCAATATTAATGTCTAGCCTAGAAACACGGGCGTTACATAGATGCTTAGGTCATTTAGTGTTTAGCAAGTCAGGCACCACCCACTGCTACCTCGGGCAATGATGGTCGGCGGCGAGCGGTGGCAGCCACCACTTTTTAATGGCGGAAGTTATAAATTTTAAGCCAAAACATTATCCAAAGCATTTTGGTTCACACGAAACATCAATCCAACACACACACGCACACAACCACCCATGGTGGTGGCTAGTGGCGGCAGAAGGGCGGCAGCCACCATGGTTGGCTGCCATGGTGGTTCTCTTTGTTTTCCGGCCAACAAAATACACACACGCCGACATACACTAAAACACGCACACACACATGCAAAACACGAACACCAACACAGCCACCCACTCACGGTGGCATACGACAACCGGAAAATGATGGAAAACGGGAGAGCCGCTGGAGCGTAGGTGGCGGCGACGGGACGCGAAGAAGTAACAAAAAAGAGACGGAGAAGAGAAAGGTGTGCGACCCTAACTGAGAGCAGCAGCAGCAGCAGCAACCACGAGCCTCATTCTTCTGATCAACCTGGTTGACACGACGTCAGGCTCACGACTCTCGTCTTCGTCGACAGTGGGAGCATCGACGGTCGTGCTCGGCTTGGTGGTTCACGACGGCGGCAAAGGATATGGCGGCGGTTGGAGGTGTGGAGAGATAAGGGTGGCGGTTGCAAGATTTAGGGTTTATTATTTATTTATTTATCTATCTTATTTATTTACTTATTTTATTTTATTTATTTTATTTTAAACGGGATGTTATAATGACATTCGTTTAGATAACTTAGGGTAATAAGCAACCTATCTAAAGTTCACTTTTTACGACACACTTTGTCGTATCGGGTTGAACGCTAAATTTCAAAGAAGCATAACTTTTTCATACAAATTCAGATTTAGGCGTACTTTGTATCTTTGGAATTTTTGACACATCTATTACAGTTTTGGTTAGGATTATTTATCCTAAATAACCTTCTGTCAAAATCAACTATTTATTGCTTGTACGACGAATAATTACTAGTTATTATATTTTAAATGTTTAGTCCAAATTTGTAGGCGTTACAGAATTATTGTCACTATACTAGTTTCACATATTTCATGACTTTCTTTTAAACATGTTAAACATTTGAATAAGTCATAACCATCTCATGAAACATTATATAACAATTTGAATAAGTCATAACCATCTCACATTTTCATTATATTTTTGAACCATTGAAACCAATTCAGGAACAACTTGTTTAGATCAACCATGTTTAACAAAAAAAATGATTTGAACAATTTGTAACACTTGGATATACAAATGTAAATATTTAGTTATAATAATTTTAGCTATCCGGTATCAATAGCAAAGGAGAACAAGAAGCTCTTCCGAAATTCAATATTACCAAAACACTACACTTGATTACGAAACATGACTTCGGTAAAACCCAAATTGTCACCAGAGACTTGTTCCCGAATAATAGAGAGACTTGTTCCCCAATAATAGCTTAAACTTGATGACAGATTTCTATCTTGAAAAATTTTTAAAGTGGAATAGAATTCATAAATTAGGAATGGGGTGAATGGTGAATTTGTTGGGAATACTAGAGTGAATAGAAAGGTTTTAGAAGTAAATCTAAGCTAGAAGTATATATTTTTTCTCCATTTTGCAGGTTTATTTATATGAGAAAAAATGAATCGACTGGAAGTTGTATTAGAAAAAAAAATTAAAATAAAATAAATGATAATATAAAGAAACGGAATGGTTTGGGTACATAATTAGAATGTTCCAATCCGAAATCGTAGTGTTTGGGTCTTACGTCGTAATGTTTTGACGGGTTTGTGGAGGAATCTTATTGGTGTTAGATGATACTGTGTTAATTTTTAACCGAAACTACTACATAGGAATGAATAAGATAACTATGTATCTAGATTGGAGGGCTCCGATTGAATTCAGATGGATGGAGACTTTGTATTGAAGGGTTGGAGTTTTACCTTAGGTCCTCGTGGTTCTGTAATGCTTTGACATAATAGAACACAAATAAATATTGACAATTTAATACTTAAATTTAGGGATATGCTTTTTAAATGAAAAATCAAATTGGAAACCAGACCGAAACCGGTTGGAACAATTAGTGGTATTCGGTCTGGTTTCTAATTCCACAAATCCATTATTTGTCGTTCTTTCAGTTCCGGCCCGATTCGGGCCTGGCCGGTTCTTGTTCCAAACACATTTTTAGACATTAGATTTCCTAGTAGAACAGAACCAGAATATAATAGAAACTGACTGGAACTGGTTAGTGGTATTTAATCCGGTTCTTGGTTCCCTATTCAATCCTTAATTGGTTTTCGGTTTTTTTGGTTCCGGTGTCAGGTTCCAAACAGATTTACATCCTTACTTGAATTTATATAAAATAAAATACAAATACACCCTCAGCCTTAATAGGCTCTGACATACTCGATGATGCACTTATTCAAATATTAGGGTGTGGATCAAAACAATAAAAAAAAATGACAACCACATACACCAAAATGATTATCCAAATTTGTACAACAAATCTATTTTTTTGGACAAAGCTATAATCTTTTGACAAAAATTTCTGCAATTTTCTTCGACCTTTGGGTATCGCACCCAGGTACCAAGTTGCCACATCAACATCGAGTGCCGTTGTGGGGATGGTGTTCAAGTCTGCCTTCAACACAATGTCGTGAGGCAAAAAAACAGAGGAAATAAGAGAAAGAAGAAAAAAAGAAAAGAGTAAATTACACGGATGATCCCTGTGGTTTGGGGTAATTTGCGCGTTTGGTTCCTAACTTATTTTTTTAACTCGGACCGTCCCTGTAGTTTGATTCTATTGCGTCTTTGGTCCCTATCACATGTAGAATGACTATTTTACCCTTAATGATATATTTTATTTTGTTAAATCCTTTTTTATTATTTCAATTATTTTTAAATAATATAAACTATTAATATATTGTTGGAAATGAGACCCACCGGTCCACCCCACCTTAATCCTCTTCCTCTTCCTCTTCCCTGCACCACATCCGGTCACCATCTCCGGCCATAGATCCGGTTCCGGCACCAACTCCACTCATCATCTCGGGCTACAGATCCAGTACCATATAAAATCACCCCAAACTAAACACAAATCCAACCATAATGTAAAGTTCAACAACAAATCTGAAATACATCTAAAATTGAACTTGTACCTCAAATCCAAAAACAAAATCGTTGATAGAAAAATCGCAGATACAAAAATCCCAAATACAATCCAGGTGAATCGACACAAGAGAACATTTTGTGCCATTGAGACTCAATAGATTGATCAGTAATTAGAAAAATTGTTACAGACAAATTTGTGATTTAACGATTTAACAAAGGGCACTCACGATTCAAAGCAACTGCATCCAATCTTCTCCCTATGGGTTTGTCATTTTGGGGGATCGGAGGGATCTAACTTGAAGCTTCCAGTCGTTCCCCATCCTTCACCTTGGAACGATTCGACATTGGTTCGGTTTAGCATTTCAAACCTTAGATTAAACCTGTGGTGAAGAAATCGAAATCCAAAAATCGTTGGTTGATTTGGTTGCAGGATGATGGGTCTCGCACAATAGGTTGCTTCTTCTTGTAGGCTCCGGTGGCAAGCACTTGAGGTGGGTTGTCGGTTTCGTCAGTTAATATGAGAGGGGCGACATATAATGGTTGAATGGTTTGCTGATTTAGGGTAAACGATGGAAGATGATCAGAAGGAGGAGTGAGTAACATACCTCCCCTGAACACAATCGCTAGACAATAGTGTGCAGGTTTTCTTCGTCGGCGGTGGCGATTTCAGTGGCACAGTGGAGGTGACGTCGTAGAGAAAGGAGAAGGAAGAAGGGGGAACTGATGTTGGTCGAGTGGTTTAGGTTTCCTTTTCATTCTTCACAATATTAGAAAGATTAGGGCCACATCTAATAAAAAAAATTCTTTTATAATTTTATTTAATAAGTTAATAAAACAAAACAATTAAAATAATAGATAAAGGTATATCGGTCATTTTAAGTCGGATAGGGACCAACAACATAACAAAATGAAATTATAGGGACTGTCCGAGTTTAAAAAAAATAAGTTAGGGACCAAACGCGCAAATTATCTCGAACCACATGGACCATCCGTGTAATTTACTCAAAAGAAAATGACAATAAGACACTTTGAGCAGGCAACGGGGATAAAAGGCTGTGTTCGTTGGTCTTAGCCCCGTCCGAGGCCATGCCACATCGGCTTTCCAAGGCTTTTTGTTTTTTTTTTTTTTACCCTTATCTACCGGTCTTAGGAAAAATAAAATATATATTAAAAAAAAAAAAAACGTGAAAGATCTAGACACTTTTCCTGCTCACCCTATGGAATATGGATTTCCTTTCAAAGATCTAGACGACCATTTACACTAGAACAGCATTCAGGTAATCAGAAAGATCAGACTGAGAACGAAAAATGAGCAACAACAAGAAATTATTGATAATCGGAGGAACTGGTTACTTGGGTCAGCATCTATTACAATCCTTTTCAGAATCCCAGAAATCATTCGATCTATCAATGGCGTTCACACATCATTCGTCTCCTCCGCCTAACCTCTTGCTTCAATCCCTTCCTCATGCTACCCCCTTTCAAGTTGACTTACAAACGGGTCATGGATTTGACTCCATCTCTCACACATTTGGCCAGGTTCTCATTCTCTACCACTAATTCATTGAATCTTATCGTATATTCTTCATGTTTTGGTTTTAATTTCGTCAGACATGCCGCATCCAACTGTAGGTATGTAATGATGCAGCTCATTGTTGAATGTTTTCTAAGACTTAGGGATTTCGATTTCATGGATTGGAGAATTGGAGAAAATTCTGTTCAAATTTGAACAAAATGAGCTTATTTCAATTCCAAATTTCGGTTCCAATGCACCCAATTCAGTTTTCGTTTGATTGTCATGTTATGTTCTTTTGAGATTCTGGAAATGCCTAATTCTATGATGATTTCTGTGCATTATTTTGATGAATTTAAACTGATCATTGTGGAATCTTTATCCTTCAAATTAATTTAATGGAAGTTAACTTGCAATGCAGCCTGATGTTGTAGTCAATTGTGCTGCAATTTCTATACCTCGTGCTTGTGAGACAAATCCTACACTTGCCATGTCCGTTAATATTCCTTCTTCACTTGTAAAATGGTTATCAAGTTTCACTGAAAGCAATACTCTTCTCATTCATCTATCAACCGATCAAGGTAATACAATTGAACCCTATGACCTTTGTATTTGAGAAAATAAATTAAGGAAATGTTTACTTAATGGGCTTAATGGTTAAGCACTTATTCCAGACAGCTATACATGACTATTTCTTTTTTACTTAATCTGGACATAATAACTTAATTGGTTAAGCCAAAAAGACCTGGATTAATGTATTAAGACACTAACCATTTACCTATTTGCCTTTTTTTTTCCTCTCAACTAAAATTTATCAAGATTGTGAAATTTGTTTTTTGGAATGTAAGGTTAAAATGGTCATTTAGTCTCATTCAGTCAGTCTGGAAAAGAAATAGATTCTGTGACTACAAAACTTTATTGCCCATTTAGTCACTTTACCAATACTTGACTTAATGAGAAAAAAGAAAAAGAAACTAGTTATGTCCCCCATTAAGTCAGAAAAATTCATAATTTTGTCATTTTAATTTGTTTATGTTCATAATAATTTTTTTACCAGTTTATGAAGGGACAAAGTCTTTTTATAAAGAAGACAATGAGACACTTCCTGTGAATGTATATGGGAAGTCGAAATTGGAAGCTGAAGAATATATTATTGCAAAATGTTCAAACTTTGTGATTTTAAGAAGCAGCATTATTTTTGGACCACAAACTATCTCACCCGTCTCAAAATCACTTCCAGTTCAGGTATATATATATATATATATATATATATATATATATATATATATATATATTCTTTTTATAACATTAAGTTATATCATTTTCACACATATATGCCCCATTTCTCACGTAGGGCCCGAAAATACAGACTGGGGCTGGGGCTGGGGCTGGGACTGGGACTGGGACAAGAATTCTTTTCTTTTGTCCCAACCAAAAGAAAAGTTAGGACAGGGAGTGAGGGACTAATTCTTAGTCTCTCGTTTGTGCAAAAGACATAAATGCCCTCATCATAGAAATTGCCCCAAGAAATATTGAAAATCTTTTTTTATGATTATGTTCAACATATGAAATGCAGTGGATGGATAGTGTTCTTGGCAAAGGGCAAGAAACAGACTTCTTTCATGATGAATTTCGTTGCCCGGTATATGTGAAGGATGTTGTAAATATTATACAAATATTAACCAACAAATGGATTTCAGGTTTACAAATTTCTCATTTTTTTTATTGAATTTCTGGTTGTAGTTATGATTGATTTCTAAGGTCAAACACGTCTAATTTTGCAACTTCATCATGAATGTGGTTTTCGTGATCATATCATATTTATTAACAAGTACTACACCTAAAAAAGATGGTGTTAAAGTTATACTAAAATTTATCTTAAATTCAAATATAAGAGGTTATATATTTGACCTCTAAAGTCAAATTGTGCCTCTTTTATATTATATTCCTATTTTGATCAAATACACTACCTAGTTTCTTTTCTTTTTCTCCATTAAGTTTTTTTCTAGATAAATGATGTTTAAAAAGTATTTGAAAAAATTACGGCATATATGGGAAAATGGAAGGAAAACGTAAAGGGTTAAATGCAAGAAATAGCAATATACTTGTATTGATTTATTTCTTATAGGGAAGAAATAGCAATACACTTTTATTGATTTGTTTATTATGGCATTATACTTTTAGTTATTATTACGATATTGTACTTTGAAAAATATATCCCAAATACAAAGCAATTTTCATTGCTATAATTGCATAGATTTTTCAAGTATAATGTCCTACCAAGAAACAAAATAAAACTATAATGTTATAATTGGGTATATTTCTCAAAGTACAGTGCATAAATAAGAACAATATGTACTTGCAACACTGTATTGGAAGTAAGATGTTATAATATACATATAAATGAAAGTACATTTCTTTCCTTTAGCCCATAAATAAATGAAGTTAAATTTGTAAAAAGTTACAATTTAATAAGAAAGCCTCATTAACCTAAATTTCTCTATTAACTCGTTCTTTTTGCATTAATTTAAAAAAAAAAAGACACACACCCATATATAGCTTACCAGATTAAGTCATATTTTTTGCATTAAGTCAAAAAGAAACAACACCTAAAATTTGGGGTATTTTGGTCAATTTACAGATGGAGAGAAAATGGGATTGCTTCTAAATGTCGGTGGGCCTGATAGGTTATCGCGGGTTCAAATGGCTGAGACTGTAGCTCATGTTAGAGGCTACAACACCTCATTGATAAAACCCGTGTCCACATCATCGGTTAGTTTAACTTAACCCTAGTTAAGAATCACACTCATATGTTTTTTTTGTAATAATTTTCAAAATTATGGTTTTTGTTTACAGATTGATCGTGGAGTGAAGTCACCAAGTGACATATCCATGGACATAAGTAAGCTAATTCAAACATTAGATTTTAGACCAATGTCTTTTCAAGATGGTGTCAAGTTGACAATTGAATCAATGAATCCATGACATAAAGTTGTTGGTTTTTGTAGACTATATACATGGAAAAAAAAAATTAGTATTATGTGGTTGTAGTAGTGTATGAAATGTTGTATATTAAATCTGGTTAAAAAAGAAATTACGTTGGTCAATTCAATCTAGTGAAAGACATTGTAATATGACACACCAGATTGTACTGTTTCTGGAATGCATGTGACTAGTGAAAGATGTGTAATAGGACATAATATATTACATTGGACTGGCATTGGTAAGCAAAAATTGCAATTTTTTATCACATCCAAAAAGGTGGGACAATATTTCGCTATTGATATATTGTTTGAGTAAAAGATGTATATGCCATTATCATTATAATTGAAAGTAGCCATAAAAGCTTATATAATATTCTTAAATTGTTATCTCTCTAATTAGGGGTGTAAGTGAGACAAGCCAACTCGCGAGAAACTCGAGACCGGCTCGGGAAATACTTGAAATCGACTCGACCTTAATCGAGCCGAGCTCGAGCTCAAGCTACTCGAGTACCTTATCGAGCCGAGCTTGAGTACTAAAATATTGAGCTCGTAAAGCTCGCGAGCTTAGTCGAGCTTAGTGTAATTTACATATATTCTATTTCTTTATAATTGTTCATTTATAACATATATGTCATTTCTTTATAATTATTCATTTATGACATATATGGTTGATGCTATATTGATATTAGGTGATTAATAGTTATTTTTTTGGTAGTTTGGACATTTGCATGTGGAATGTTTTAATATTTCTTACTCAATTTAGTGATTTTGATTTTTTTTAAGTATTAGTCGAGCCGAGCCAAGCCGTGCTCAAGACTGCCGAGTATTTCATGAGCCCAAGCTCGAGCTTAAAATCAAGGCTCGAGTCGAGTTCGAGCCAAGTTTCGAGCTCGAGTATTTTAGTCGAGCCGAGCTTCGAGTTTGGTAGTATTCGGCTCAACTCAACTCGTTTACACCCCTATCTCTAACCAGCCTAATAATTGCAGCCTAACATTATAACTAAAAAATTGTCTCTTGTTTTGATTTTACGTAAAAACCGAACTGAATTTATTGCACACCCTGTAATTTCTTTCGAAACTTTATAGAAACGATAGTAACGCTTGAAATAAAATATATTGTTAGAAAAGATTACTTGAAAACTTAATTATATTTCTTTTTCTACATTTGTATAGATATACAAATGTGATTGTGAAATTTGAACATTCATTTTATCATGTTTCATAGAGGAAAATATGGTAAATGTGATAGATCCTTGTTTTTTGTTCATATAGTCGAATCGATAATCTTAGTGTTGATATTTAAACACGTCACACATAAATTTTGTTATTTGGATCTTAGTGTTGATATTTAAACACGTCACACATTAATTTTGTTATTTGGATCATACATTTTAATGGTCAATTACAAATTTTAGTTACAAATTAAACGGGTCTAATAGGCTTATTTTTGCTTTTCTTTAATCGTATGATCATAATAAAGATTTATTTTTTGTATGTTTTTAATATGATTGAAGTAACATTCGATCCTTTTGGGCGTGTTTGAGCTTTTGAGAGTTTTTAGATTTAACCAAAAAAATGTCTAATAAAGTAAAAACTTCATTTTTAATACGAGCTAAAGTTTTTTTAGAACAAAATCTCAATCCAAAAGTTATATTAAGTAGCGTTTTTCTTTTGCATATTATAATAAAATTATCAGATTTCCCTTAAAGAAAAACTCATGTTATTTGTATGTTATTTTATATAATTTTATACATTTCAAAAGCTTATAACTATTTTTTTCCAAAAACTTTACACAAATAAAAGCTAAATTTTTCGGTTGCAAATAAAAACTATATCGTCCAAATGTCGGTGCTTCTGATAGGTTCTCACGGGTTCAAATGGTTCAGACCGTGCCTCATGTTAGAGGCTACAATCAAACTCGTGTCACATCATCGGTCAGTGTAGTTTAACCCTGGTTAAGAATCACATTTTCATGTTTCTTTTCGTTATAATTTTCAAAATTATGGTTTTTGTTTTCACATTGATCGTGGAGTGAAGTCACCAAGTGCAATATCCATGGATATAAGCAAACTAATCCAAACACTAGATTTTAGACCATTGTCTTTCAAAAATAGTGTCGATTTGACAATTGAATCAATGAAGCCATGACATGAAGTTGTTGGTTTTATATATTATATACATGGAAAAAAATTAGTATTATGTGGTTGTAGAATATGAAATGTTGTATATCAGATATGGTTAAAAGTAAAATTAAGTTGGTTTTAAGCATATATATGGTGATAGTTGAATTAGGGTAAAAGGTCATGAAATACAAGAATTCAAACCAATGAAAAGAAGTGTAATGTGACATAACAAATCATACCGGTTTTTTATTTTTTTTATTTTTTTGCATGCATTGGACTAATGAAATATGTGTTGATATAATAATAGTAATAATAGTAATAATAAAATTCACACTCACCCAAAAAGGTGGGACAATGATTCATTGTTGATATATTGTTTGAGTAGAAGGCGTTATGCCATTATCATATCATTGAAGTAGTCATAAAAGTTTATACAGTCTTTTTCTATCTTGGTCAATTAGTATAGATAAAAAAAATGTCGTTTGGTTTTGATTTTATGCGAAAACCTAACAAAATTTATCGAACACACCTAGTGTAACGCCCTGTTTATTTAAATAAATTTAAAAAATGTAAGTCTCAGACTAATTTGTGAAGAATTTTGATAGTTGGGGGTGGTTTAGTAAGTTATGGGGTCGTTTTGAGAAGAATTCTAGAGGCAAGGGTATGTTTGGTAATTATCGTACCTAAATTGTAATGAATTTTATTATTAAGGGCTGAAAGGGTAAATATTGGGTTAGTTTGCAAAATATTTCTAGAGAGAGGGACTACTTATGTCATTATGGGAACAAGTTAGGGGGTCAGGGTATATATCCTGTCACCCCTCCAGTCCAACCCTAACCCTAAATGAGGAGATCAGCCGCCACCTTACAATTTCTAGTCGCCGGCCGCCACCATCATCTTCAGTCGCCGCTTCCTCCACCGTCGAGAGCCTAAACCATCGTCGTGCCCCTGCTGTCGGTGACATCGAAGACCACCGGTGAAGCCATGAGGCCGTCGCTATTGCCTCACCGCCGGCGGAGGGTGTTGTGTTCGTCGTTGCTGCTGCTTGCCCGTTGCTACGTCGTCGCTCGCGTCGCCGCCTCTTCCTCCGTCTTTCTCTTGGTGCGTCTCAGGCCACTGCTGCCGTGTTGGAGCCCTAAAATCACCGAGACCGCCGCCGGTGTACTCCCCTTGCTACTCCGATTATCGCTTACCACCCCAAGGGGGGGGGGGGCTGTTGTGTTCGCATGAGCAGGTCTTCTGCCGAGTGATGTCGTGAAGATCCACCATTGCAGTCGGCCATTGTAAGGGTCGAATTGTTGTAATTAGTCGAAGTATGTTTTGGACTCTTCGAATATTTTGTAATGTAT